TCGAGAAAATTATGTTACCTAGTATAGAAGATAAACAAGAATTAGTTCTCGATAAAGTTAGAAATCGAACAACAGAATTTATTGATAATAATGAAATAATAAGGAGGGATTTCGATAGATTAAGTTACCTATTATAGAGGATAAACAAGAATTAGTTCTCGATAAACTTAAAAATCGAACACCAGAGTTTTTGATTAAATATAGAGTCAAAGAGAATAAGATGTCAAAAGATATAAATTCTATTGAGGTAACATCAATCGAAATCAACAGACAGAGAAGTAAAGCAGCAGAACAGGAAGAGATTGTCAAAAATAAAAATAAAAAAACAGCAATGAAATAAGTATCAATTTAGATCAACATTTGGAGGTTTTTAAAGAAGAGTTGGGTACATTAAAAAATGTGGAAATAGATAAAAAATTATTAGAGAATTACCAGGCTAAATTTTGTGCAGTAAGAAGATTGCCATTTTCTTGGATAGAAGAGATTGATAAAGGTATAATAAAACCGATAGTGCATAACTATCAACATTATACAAATTATCATTATTAAAATTAAAATACTTGTTTTTACTACAATTATTAACATTAAAAAAATTATTATAATTATCAAATCTATCATTAAAATTAAAATGCTTATTCTTACCTGAACTAAAATTAGAAAAACTATTATTACCAAATTTATTATTAAAATTAAAATATTTATTCTTATTTGCTACTAAATTTTCAACATTAAAAAAATTATTATTATTACAAAATTCATTATTAAAATATTTCTTTCTTAGTCATTTGTTACATTTCTCTTGAGTGTGTCCATCCTGGCCACAAATATTACATCTCACAATCATATTGTTTAATCTACATCTTATAGCTAAATGGCCATTCCTGCCACATCTCGCGCATTTCAAATCCTTTGTTAAATCACAATCACGCGACCTATGGACTGGCTGACCACAGCTATAACAACTAATTCGTCTGAAATTCTTTGTACTTCTAGAAATATTTATGTTTCTCTCCTTATTTTCCTCATTTAATATACTTTTTATCTTATCTAATTCCTTATTTTCTATTTTGATGTACGATGTATTTCTACCTAAAATTAAACCTAATAAAAATGCTAAAACTTTTACCGAAAATATTAATACCATTATATTTTCCAACAATAAATTCCTTAAAATAATTTGACTTAGATACATTACAAAGAATTAAAAATAATTTTAATCACAAATAACTTAATGCTGCGGCCAAAATTATACAATGTAATTTATATTATGATTAAAATAAAAGCATAAAAAGGCATTAAAAATAAAAGAAAATATATATATTTTTTTTTTTACCTTAAATACGCTGATATATAAAAAAAATTGACTTTTAATCACAATTTATTTCTTCTAAATTTAATTGTATAGTCTATTTATTAGACTGAATATCTGCGGTCCCTGAGTATGTTTACTTCGGACCAGTATTAGATTTTGAAGTTGATTATTATAAAAAAAGGAAGATTAAATATTAAAATATATATAACATCAAACCTTATTTGTATTTAGAAGTACGGGTAACTTTATTTTGAAATAGAATTAATTGATAATAATTGGTGAATTGAATTTTAAAATGATTTGTTTCGTATATATATCTTCTTTTTTTTAATATTCAAATAACATTTTTTAACCAAAAAAAAATTTGAATAACGAAAGAAATTAATAATTTTAACATATACTAACAATGCTCAACTAAAATTATAATATTATAATAACTAATTATAATATTCAAAATATAAAAAAAAAAGGAATTCATTATTTAAAAAAAATGAATAAACACCACCATAATAACTAATTATAATATTCAAAAAAGTAATTACATAACAATATAAAAAAATTAATAAAAAAAGGAATTAATTATTTAAAAAAATGAATAAATACAACAATATTAAGAGAACCAGTGTTGCTACAGATAAAGTCTTTTGTAATATATGCTTGCAAATAGCACTTGATAAAGATGGTGAGGATAAAAATAATTCTTCATTTTCAGAGTAATTTTTTGATTATTTTGAAAATATTTGTAAATTTTTTAATTAGTTATCCAATCAAATCTTTTTCAAAAAATATCAGCACATCAAATATAATAAAACATTTACTTGACAAACATGATTTATCATGTAAAGAAGAAATATCTAAACAAAATTTAAAGTTATTTTTCAAACCCATTGTAAAAGATACAACTGACTCTATAAAAGATAAAAAATGGATTCTGGTAAGGAATTATGTTCTCATGTGTTGCAAGGATTTAATGCCATTCTCTTCTATAAATAATACTAGAATGCAAGATTTTCTACTGGTTATTTGTAAAATCATTATAATTTTTTATAGGGCAATCTTAATTTTTATTTGTTAAGATATTTAATTATTTTATAACATCCCACATTTAGAATTTTTATGGCATAATATTTTTATGGCATAATATTTTTATGGCATAATATTTTTATGGCATAATATTTTTATGGCATAATATTTTTATGGCATAATATTTTTATGGCATAATATTTTTATGGCATAATATTTTTATGGCATAATATTTTTATGGCATAATATTTTTATGGCATAATATTTTTATGGCATAATATTTTTATGGCATAATATTTTTATGGCATAATATTTTTATGGCATAATATTTTTATTATTAACTTTTTATTATGTAGAAATATGGCATTATTTCAGATGCCAAAGAATTACCAGATAGAACTACACTTACTGGGAGTGGATTAGATGATGTGTATTTATAAATGAAAGCATACATATGCCAACAAATTAATATAGGTCCTAAATTTTGTGTTATAACATATGTGGACCGACAAATATTGACGGCGATAATATATCACCTTTACATTTCACCAATAGATTATAATTTTAATATTGTATTTTATACATTGGCGACACATCATGTCACTCAAAAACATACCGCTGAAACTATTCTTTCCGAAATAGAAAATAAAAATGAATTTGATTTAGGGTCCAAGAAAATTCAAATGGTTACGGATGCAGGACCCAATGTAAAGAAAAGTGTTCGTCTAGGAGAATATGACCATCATTTATGTTTAGGGCATGGATTACATAATCTAGTGACAGTCGATGGAATAAAAAAAGTTAATAAAATAGAAAATCTCATTAAAAAAGTGAGAGAAGTTATAGTTGCCTTAAGATTCAAAACAGCGGATTTTGAAAATATAAACGATATAGAAAATGTTTTGAATCGATATCATATACATCGGATATTTTAGATTTGGATAATAATGATCCTTTTTATGAAGATCGTTTGTGGTTTGAAAATGATAGTGAAAATCAAAAATCATATGAGAAAAAACATAATACCTTAAAATTAAATGTGCCTACACGTTGGCATAGTATTTTAATAATGCTGGAAAGTGTGACTGGCAATAACAAAAATACTATAAATATTCTATTAAATAGAATGGAGAAACCGGATCTCAAATTATTTAACTCCGATTGGGACTTGGTCAGCGTCTACATGAGCGGGAGGGGTAGGAACAGTTTGCATCCTATTTTTTTTGAGGGGGTAGGGGGTAAGCTGCTAATGGGGGTACGATAAATTTTTTTTAGGGGGTTATCTATTAAATTTTGAGATGAAATAAGACAAAATTTATTGCTGTAAAAATTAATACTTTTATTATAGTATTATTATAATACAATTCATCGACCAAATCTATATATTGCAAACAATCATACACATTGTTTTCCAAATAAACTATCCTTTTAAATATAATTTAAAAGGTTTCGATATTTCAGCAAGCTCATAATGCCATAATAATTAATTCATTGTAAATAATGGAGGTTTTAATTAAATTTATTATCTAAAAAATAAATTCTTTATATTCACAAAATATCGATAGTTGGTAGTAGAGATAGATTAATTTAAGTTATCCTTTATAAATTATTTTAAAAGAGTATCAATAAATAAATAGGTAAAAATAATAATAAAAAGACATCGCCGCCGAAGGCGGCGGGAATTTTTTAGGGGGGTAGGCCAAGGTTTTTGAAGGGGGTTTGCATCCAGTGAAAATCCTGTCATGTAGACGCGGGACTTGGTGCATGAACTTTTAAATTTTCTTAAAACCTTCAAAAAAACTATTGAATTTTTATTACTATAAATTTAGCCTTATTATTTCGTAGTGAAATTAAAAATCATTTAATTGTAAAAGAATATGATAGTTCTCGACGGAAGTTGCTTCAAAACTCGATTATCTTAAGTCATTGGCTACGAAACATTCATCTATTCAAAACAATAACCTGGAACAACAACACTATTTAACTAGTTTAGAAAAAGAGTGTTATTCATTATTTTCGCCTTATAATTTGGAGATAAAAGATGTATTAGATTTTTGGAAGATAAGAGCATTGGATCTTCCTAAACTTTCAATATTAGCTAGAAAGGTCCTGTGCGTTCCAGCTACGAGCACACCCAGCGAGCGTGTATTTTCTATAGCTGGGCTCACTCTGAACTCTAAAAGATCATTATTATGTCATTTAAATCTTAATAAAATAATATTTATTCATGATAATTGTTGCGACTGAAAAAAAAATGACTGAAAAATAAATCTAAATTGTTGGGATTGCTAACGAATATAAATTATTGCAAATTGTCAGATAAAATAATTCTTTATTGCAAAAAATTAAAACCAGATAAAAATTCTTTATTATATATTTTTTAGACGAAAATAAATATTTTTTTTATATAAATAAAATCGAAGAATGATTTCTTTTTTTATAAAAATAAACCCGAAAAAATGATTATTATTTTTCTACAACACAAAATAAAAAATATTATTTCATATTTTTAACATTTTGTGTTGTAAATTAGAAATAATAAGCATATATAAAAATAGACGAAAAGAAAATAATAATACATATTTCAAAAAAAAATATAATATATATTATATTATAGTTGCGATGCAAAATATATATAAAATTAACAATGACTATATTTGATAAACTAGGAGGGAAATGGGAGTGTTTCGAAGAAACATTTGTAGTTCCCCTTTAGGATTTCAAATTGGACTTTTTGTTTAAGAGATAGGGACTCGTTTTTGACCCCTGTCCTTAACGAAATTCTTCTACCCAATTGATTTAAGAACTTTAGGGATTGGGGACCGGGGTTTCCAAGGACGCTAAAAATAAGGGGAATAAATAAAAAAGAGTTAGGGAGGAATCTATATTTATTAAACTTATTGGTTTCTTGTAGTTCCAAGGAGTCGGTATTTCCGTTAGCCGGAAAGGAGGTAACACAAGAGACGTCCCAGACAAGTCTTTTGCCGCCGTGCCAAGACGTTAAAGACATGCCGTCAGGGCGCTTACCGTCAGCATTTAGGAGACCCAATGGCTCCAAGCTATTGGGGAAACCGGCCGAAATCAAGGCTTTGCCGATTAACCTATTAAGGTTGTCGTGCCTCAGGAAACGGCCACTGACTTTGAGGCACGAGAAACAATGTCTAGAGAAAGGATCAACCTGTTTGTGACAGGCGGCACAGGTGTCCACAGAAGGGATAAGGCAACCAAGCCTATGGCCAATGGCAGTTTGAAACTCATCGTCTGTGAGTAACGTTTCCTTTTTACCACTCGGAATCGCGTCTAGCCATTCATGGCCGTTAGAGTTTTTTTTTGCGTTTCTGAGCAGTTGAAGGTTAGTTAGCTCAGGATACATACAAAGTTTTTCAAACGAGCATTGGAGCATAGGGACCAGGAAGCTCTTTAGATGGCAGGAAATTGGCTGCTCGGAGCCTTGGGTGATAAGAGTAAGCCACTCTTGTTTAGCTGAAGATAGAAGGGGATCGTCCAACTCGATAAGCGAGGAAATGGAATCGGCGAAGGATATTCGAGATGAAAGAAAACACGCAATTGCCATAAGGAAGGGGGGTAACAATCCCAGTCCACCCTGGTAAGCGGGCATAGAGGCGAGGGACCAATTGAAATCGGAAAAATTTAAGCCTAAAAGGGATTCGATAAAATGTTTAAATTTTAATTCGAAGACCTTAAGGAGAGTATTGTACTGGAAAACGGGGGAAGATTTAAATAAATGTAAGAATTTAGGTAGAAAAAGACATTTTTTGGTGAGAAAGAAGAACTGATGCTTGGGGAGATGAGGAAGATTCTTGAGTGAATTGGAAAGGGAATGGATCAAATCGTCAAAAGTTTTTTGACAAAAGGAGGTTGAAAAACCAATAGGGGAACCCAAAAGACAGAGTTCCTCGTGCGGAATGATTGTAAAATCTAAGGGAGGAATAAAATCCTTATTGTTGAGGGAGGAAATTTCACACTTTTTCCTATTTAGGGAAAGACCAATTTTCGAAGCTTCCATTTCAACGTACTCTATGGCCGACATAACATTGGATAAAGAACCGCCAAAAGAGCCATCGTCGAGATACCATAAATTAAGGTCTAATTGGAAATTAGTCTTTAAATTTTTGATCAAATCATGAATCCCTATAGTAAAGAGCAGAGGGCCTAGAGGATCACCTTGCTGTATCCCCTCTTCGGAGGATATGGAAAATTCCCCGAATTTGAGTAACGAAGGGAATCCATAACAGGAATTAAGGAAATTCCCATATTTTGGGAAATGGTGTAAAAAAGATGGTAAGAATGCCCTCCTATGGATGGTGTTGAAGGCATTTCTGAAGTCTAACTTGCAGAAAACCTTATCGGCCTCAGAATTTATAAAAATACGCGCAACATGTGAGGCCACTTCACACCCACCTCTCACTCCAAATCCTAACTGTGAAGGAAATAAGAAGGAACTAGCCTTAGGCCGAATCCTATTTACGATAGCCTTGGCGACTAAGCGACGAAAGAATGACCCTATGGCTATGGGTCTAACGCCGCCATCCGGTTTGGTCAGGGAGACAAGACGGGCGCCAAAAATAATAGGACGAATGCAAAGGGGAACTTCGCGTACGAGGATATTATTGCACAGTTCGGTTAATGCTTTCAACAAAGGGTCAATGAAGCCACTATCAGGGCATTGAATTAACTCCACAAAGAAACCAGGTCTGAAGCCGTCCAACCCCCCTGTCGTCCCTTTTTTAAAGGACTTTAAGCACTTAAGTACTTCGTCACAGGTAAAGGGAATAGGGGAGGAGGCATGCGGGTGGATGTTAAAAGGGGACGCTCGTGGATGTTTTTCAAGTAGTTGTTTAAATATGGTAACGTTGATAGGTGAAATAGAGTCATCGGAAGACAATATTCGGGCCGCACCGCTAATATCTCCAAGATCTAATTTTTCAGAGATCAATTTGTGACGGAAGGAGTTGGGGTTTAAAGCGTACGAAGGAGAAAATTCATCGATAATTGTATTTCCAAAATTGGAAACTTTTTCCTTAATTAAGGCAGATAAGTTATTTATTTTATTTTTGGGTTTAACTAGGACTCGAAAACAAAAACTAACCAGGTCTAACCATAATGGTAGTGAGGAGAAATCCGAATTCAAATTATTTATAAGTGACATGAGGAACCTAGAGATAGACTCTCGGGCGGCTATAGGGATCCTAGAAAGAACAGGGGGCTTATGCGAATTAAGGAATAAATCAACAGAGCTTGAGGAACATGGTGGAATGGGGTCATACGAGTGAGGAGCGTTAATTAAAGGATCTGGGCCGTAAGAGAGGGGAAATTTTCCAGAATTGTGGCACGCGGGTGAACCATGTTTCCTAAACACGCCATTTAAATTAAGCGAAACTATTTTTAAGCATACTTGACAACAAGAGTTAACCATGAGATGGCTTTGAAAGGGAGAAAACACAAAAAAAAAAATATATATATTAACGGATATAATTTTGATTGGAAGAAAAAAAAAAAGATGAAATGGGGAAAAAAAAAATCAAAATTTGGATGAGAGGAAAACCTGATCTATCCTTTCAGAAGTATTATCGAGATTAGAGGGGTTGGTAAATTTGAAAAAAAAAATAATAATAAATAAACAATAATATTTATAAAATAAGACTAGGTACATAAAGTATAAAAAGTATTATTACAAACAAAAAAAAAAAGGGTGGGGGGGTATAAACAAGAAAAAAGGGGGAAAGAAAAAATCAAAAATTGAAAGAAAAAAGAAAGATTATGAACAATCGAAATTAGGAGGGTTGGTAAATTTAAAATAATAATAAATTAGATGCATTGGCAAATAAAAAAAAAATAATCGAAAATACTGGTAAACCAAGAAATGCAAAAAAAAAAATTAAACTTTGTCGGGGAAATCTTTAGGGTGTGGAGATGTAAAACGAATTCAAACTTAAGGAAATTTTTCTACGGCCGCAAAATAGGGAAATCTTAAGGTTGTCTTAGAACTATTCGTTACACAAAAGAAGTTAAGCGCTTCTACTATTTGAAAAAGAAAGTTTTGATAGGACAAGCCTCCCTCAATAGTGCTTTAAGCGAATGTTGATATGTAGTTGGAAGAGCGATAATTGATTATTTAGAATATGTCGGCATAATATTATATCATCTTTGAAGAGTGTAGATTATTATATTTTAGAAATCGACATTTTAATTGGACAAGATGTCTTTTTTTTGGGAGAATTGAAAAGGGACGATATTTTCCGTGAATGGAGAGAACATTATCTACGACCTTATATAAGAAATTGTTGGAGAAAATCATCGTAGGAAAGAATAGTCAATTTCGATAACTATGACCGGGCATTAGTAGAGGCTCAGGGAATAAGAAAATCCAGAAAATATAAAAACCGGAAGATGAGATATGCTCAAAAATAAATAAAATATTGTTTTTTATTTTTTTTTTTATTGCTCGAAAATTGTGCTTTCCGCGAATGTTGATAAGTAGTTGGAAGAGCAATAATTGATTATTTCGAATATGTTGGTATAATATTATGTAATCTTTGAAGAGTGTAGATTATTATATTTTAGAAATCGACATTTTAATTGGACAAGATGTCTTCTTTTTTCTTTTTTTGGAGAATTGAAAAGGGACGATATTTTCCGTGAATGGAGAGGACATTATCTACGACCTTATATAAGAAATTGTTGGAGAAAATCATCGTAGGAAAGAATAGTCAATTTCGATAACTATGATCGGGCATTAGTAGAGGCTCAGGGAATAAGAAAATCCAGAAAATATAAAAACCGGAAGTCTATTTATTATCTTTATACATGTTATCAAGACTGTGATCATCTAGAATATTCTTTTGCCACCAATAAGAAATTTTATAAGGAATATAGTATTTTGCCTTGAATCTTTAAGAAAGTTTTCAATCAAAAAATTAATTTTTTACAATAATATTTATTTCACACGTAAAATATATCAATTTTTTTATCATCATACAATATTTTAATTCAACCAATATTTTGCTGGAATTAATAAATAATCCCAATAAAAAAAATAAACAAGCCCCCTTTTTAAGAACAAAAACCTGGGGCAAAAATGATACATTTTCGAGTAATTATTTTAGAAAAACAATCAGTGTATAAAATTTCAATAAATAACTCACATATATAAGAATTGTTTTTATGTTTATTCTTTTTTTTTTATCATTTCATACACCCCCTTTTCTGGTCTTCAATGATAGCCGTCGAAGTATTGTTACAGTTGAATCAAAGAGTCGATTATAACGTTGTTGTCCTTTTAATATTGCATCGTTCATCTTTTACGTTTCGGACAGACGGTATTGAGTATATGAGTCCTAGATTGATTGATTCATTACATCATTGGTCAGTCATGATCATTCAGTTAGGTATCCTCAATCTCATAATTGTAATTGTTTGTTGAAGGTAAGGTGTACGGAGCCCCTCAAAAAAAATTAATCTAGTGTATTTACGCGACACTTTATTTGATTTCTATGGCGACGCACTTCCGTCATATCTTCTAATCTTATTTTACATAACTTATTACCTAAATTTTTTATAATTATTCCTTTGTCTCATTTTTTACCACTCCCGTACATTCTAACCCAGACCATTTGATTAACTATATATTCATATTCCCTATTATTTACAATTTCTATTTTCGAAACAGGTTTCAACATATCTAAAAAAGTATTAGTTTTCCTTCCCAACATTTTTTCCGAAGAAGATTTACCATCCCTTCCTACCCCATTATTATAATATAAATGACTATCCAAACTTTTTCTGTGCCTTCTTTGGCCTTTCTCAACCAACTTTTAACAACTGCCACCAATCTTTCTGCCTGTCCGTTAGAACTAGGGTGATATGGTGGTGCTAACATATGTTGTACATTATTTTTTAAACAAAAACTTCCGAACATTTCACTCACGAACCCCGGACCACCATCTGAAATCGCCCATTTCGGAATGCCGAATCTAGACCATAATTCCTTTAAATGTTTAATAACAATTCCCGTAGTTAAACCATGTACCTCTTCAAATTCAATCCACACTTGAAATAAATTTTCTATCATTACACTCAAAAAAATCCATATGCACCCTTTCCCAAGCCCTATTTACTTTCGGCCAAACACTTTTCTTATCCCGACACGGCATATTTACCCATGCGTTACAGACTTCACAATTTTTTCCTATTTTTTCAATTTCCCCATTCATTCCCGGCCACCAAACATATTCCCTTCCCCACTGCTTCATTCGCGAAATCCCTTGATGTCCCCCGTGTAATATTTTCAGAACTTTGTCTCTCAGTTGACTCGGTATAATAGCCCTATGCCCTCTCATAATGCAACCGTCTACCACCGTTAACTCAGTTTCAATACATTTAAATTTATTCTCACCGACTTCCCATAGTTTTTTCCCCGTTATTTGCAATTTCAATAATTTCATTTCCTTATCTTTTAACGTATTATTTCTAATATCCTCCCATGTGGTGGGACCTCCTCGTAAACCACAAGTTAAAATACAAATTAAGGCTGCTTCACCTTTCCTATCTTGTCCTGATAGTTTCTCATCGGTCTCTTCACCAACTCCCAATCTCGATAAAATATCTGGTAAATGATTTTCCTTTCCTTGTCTATACCTTAATTCCAAATCAAAACTACCCACTAATAATAACCACCGTTGAAGTCTAGGTGAAATCATCAATTCTCTATTGTCCTTCTTAAATAAATAAATTAACGGCTTATGATCCTTGTATATACTACAAATTTCCTACCAATTAAATATTCCCGACATTTTTTAAGACCGAAAATAACAGCAAATGCCTCTTGTTCAATCACCGAATATCGTGTTTTTACATTCCGAAATACTCTCGAAAAAAATAATACAGGTCTCTCAATTGTACCCATTAAATGTAACAATGCTCCACCCACACCCTTATTAGATGCGTCCACCGCTAAAATCAGTTCCAATTCATTATTAAAACATACCAAAATGGGTTCTTTTCCCACTTTCAATATCAATGCCATAAACGCCAATTCTTGTTCATTTTTCCATTCAAAATGTACATTTTTCTTTAATAATTCATATAATGGCACAGCCAATTTAGCAAAATCTTCTATAAAACAATGATAATAATTCACCATACCCAAAAATGATTGTACCTCTGTTTTCGTAGTCGGTTTATTCATATTTGCAATACTCATTAAATTTTTAAAGGGCCTTATTTTTGTCCCATTTATTTTATGTCCCAAATATGTAACTTCAGTTACTCCCATAACACTCTTTTCACGACTCGCTTTTAAACATTTATCTCTGATTCTTATGAAAACTTCCTCCAATCTCTGGGGTTGCTCAACCGTTACTCCCGTCACTAAAACATCATCCATATAATAAAAAATTCCTTCTAAACCTTGAAAAACACCATAGTGCGCTGAAAAATTAGCTGAAATACTTAACCCAAACGGTAACCGACAAAAAGTAAATAATCCTTTAAACGTTGTTATTGTCAATAATTTCCTTGTACATTCTTTCATAGGTAATTGCAAATGCACAAAATCTATTTTAGAAAAATATTTTGCCCCTTTTAAATTTGCTAAAATTTCTTCAATTTTTGGTAACGGGTATTTTACTTCAACTACCCATGGATTAAGAGTAACACGAAAATCTGCACAAATTCTCAACTTTCCATTGGCCTTCCGCACCGGAACTAAAGGTGTTGCCCATTCACTATATCCAATAGGACAAATAATTCCATCACGTAATCAATTTTATAATGAATTTTCCATTTCAGCCCTCCATTCGAAAGATACCCTGCGAACTGCACAATACTGTGGTATAATATCCCTCTTTTAAACGTATATCTACTTCATAATCCACCAAACATCCCAATTTTTCCTCAAAAATTTCTTCATATTTAATCCCTAAATTTAGCACCGTATTTCGCAATTTTTCCAAATTTTCAAGTGACTCTTTTTTTTTAACAAATCTTCGTTTTCCATCTTTTTCCTTGCAAATTTCGCCGGGAATTTTAGTGCTACAGGCAATTTTTCCTGCTCTAAATTTGATTCTTTATACATTTTATATAAGTATTTTCTAACTCGGATTCTTCTTCAAATACCTTATTATCAATTTCCAAATCCTCAACATTAGCTTCCCAAACATTATCGATTTTCAAATCCAAAATTTTATATATTTCATTATTATAATTTTTGTCGCAATTAATATTTACAATTTCAGGAAAACCCTGATCAGTTTCCCCACTTATTAATTTTACATTTTCCGTAATTTCCAAAATATTATCAACTAAATTTTCAATTTTATTAGTACCCTTAACTTTATTTTCCACACAAACAATTTCTCCATTCTTTATACTTCTCTCATTACATTCTAATTTAATTTCTTCGTTCATTATTTCATT